TCTGTTAGCTTTAGCTCCTTCTGTCAGCTTTAGCTCCTTCTGTTAGCTTTAGCTCCTTCTGTTAGCTTTAGTTCCTTCTGTCAGCTTTAGTTCCTTCTGTCAGCTTTAGCTCCTTCTGTTAGCTTTAGCTCCTTCTGTCAGCTTTAGTTCCTTCTGTCAGCTTTAGCTCCTTCTGTTAGCTTTAGCTCCTTCTGTTAGCTTAGCTCCTTCTGTTAGCTTTAGCTCCTTCTGTCAGCTTTAGCTCCTTCTGTTAGCTTTAGATCCTTCTGTTAGCTTTAGCTCGTTCTGTTAGCTTTAGCTCCTTCTGTCAGCTTTAGCTCCTTCTGTTAGCTTTAGCTCCTTCTGTTAGCTTTAGCTCCTTCTGTCAGCTTTAGTTCCTTCTGTCAGCTTTAGCTCCTTCTGTAGCTTTAGCTCCTTCTGTTAGCTTTAGCTCCTTCTGTCAGCTTTAGTTCCTTCTGTCAGCTTTAGCTCCTTCTGTTAGCTTTAGCTCCTTCTGTCAGCTTAGTTTCCTTCTGTCAGCTTTTAGCTCCTTCTGTCAGCTTTAGTTCCTTCTGTTAGCTTTAGCTCTTCTGTTAGCTTTAGCTCCTTCTGTCAGCTTTAGTTCCTTCTGTCAGCTTTAGCTCGTTCGTTAGCTTTAGCTCCTTCTGTCAGCTTTAGTTCCTTCTGTTAGCTTTAGCTCCTTCTGTTAGGCTTTAGCTCTTCTGTTAGCTTTAGCTCCTTCTGTTAGCTTTAGCTCCTTCTGTCAGCTTTAGCTACTTCTGTTAGATTTAGCTCCTTCTGTTAGCTTTAGCTCCTTCTGTCAGCTTTAGCTCCTTCTGTTAGCTTTAGCTCCTTCTGTTAGATTTAGCTCCTTCGGTCAGCTTTAGCTCCATCTGTCAGCTTTAGCTCCTTCTGTCAGCTTTTAGCTCCTTCTGTTAACTTAGCTCCATCTGTTAGCTTTAGCTCGTTCTGTTAGCTTTAAACTCCTTCTGTTAGCTTTAGCTCCTTCTGTCAGCTTTAGCTCCTTCTGTTAGCTTTAACTCATTCTGTTAGCTTTAGCTCGTTCTGTTAGCTTTAGCTCCTTCTGTTAGCTTTAGCTCCTTCTGTTAGCTTTAGCTCCTTCTGTCAGCTTTAGCTCTTTCTGTTAGCTTTAACTCGTTCTGTTAGCTTTAGCTCCTTCTGTTAGCTTTAACTCATTCTGTTAGCTTTAGCTCCTTCTGTCAGCTTTAGTTCCTTCTGTCAGCTTTAGCTCCTTCTGTTAGCTTTAGCTCCTTCTGTCAGCTTTAGTTCCTTCTGTCAGCTTTAGCTCCTTCTGTTAGCTTTAGTTCCTTCTGTTAGCTTTAGCTCCTTCTGTTAGCTTTAGCTCCTTCTGTCAGCTTTAGTTCCTTCTGTCAGCTTTAGCTCGTTCTGTCAGCTTTAGCTCCTTCTGTCAGCTTTAGTTCCTTCTGTTAGCTTTAGCTCCTTCTGTTAGCTTTAGCTCCTTCTGTTAGCTTTAGCTCCTTCTGTTAGCTTTAGCTCCTTCTGTCAGCTTTAGCTACTTCTGTTAGATTTAGCTTCTGTTAGCTTTAGCTCCTTCTGTCAGCTTTAGCTCCTTCTGTTAGCTTTAGCTCCTTCTGTTAGATTTAGCTCCTTCGGTCAGCTTTAGCTCCATCTGTCAGCTTTAGCTCCTTCTGTCAGCTTTAGCTCCTTCTGTTAACTTTAGCTCCATCTGTTAGCTTTAGCTCGTTCTGTTAGCTTTAACTCCTTCTGTTAGCTTTAGCTCCTTCTGTCAGCTTAGCTCCTTCTGTTAGCTTTAACTCATTCTGTTAGCTTTAGCTCGTTCTGTTAGCTTTAGCTCCTTCTGTTAGCTTTAGCTCCTTCTGTTAGCTTTAGCTCCTTCTGTCAGCTTTAGCTCTTTCTGTTAGCTTTAACTCGTTCTGTTAGCTTAGCTCCTTCTGTTAGCTTTAACTCATTCTGTTAGCTTTAGCTCGTTCTGTTAGCTTTAGCTCCTTCTGTTAGCTTTAGCTCATTCTGTTAACTTTAACTCATTCTGTTAGCTTTAGCTCCTTCTGTTAGCTTTAGCTCGTTCTGTTAACTTTAGCTCCTTCTGTTAGCTTTAGCTCCTTCTGTTTAGCTTTAGCTCGTTCTGTTAACTTTAGCTCCTTCTGTTAGCTTTAGCTCCTTCTGTCACATTGCCTAGTTTTCTTTGGCATTTAACTACATTTGTATGAATTTTTGGTAGTTTTCTGTAGTATTTTTACATTTTTAGTACTTAGGAACTGTCACTAGCATCCAGCGAGTTTTATTTAGTTTCTATGCTGGTTGTGAATCATGGAGTTTATTCTTTGCTTGGTTTTTATTGCTGAACTTGATTTTTCAGCTGTTTCCTTCCTGTGTTTTTAAAGCTTTTCTTTACGTTCATGATGTCAGAAAAGCTTTTGTTTTCCAGATTTCTTCGTGTTGGCTGGTTGTTGATGCTTTGTGAATTAATCTTGTGTTGGGACTCATTCATAGTTTCATGTCTTCATGGTTTTGCCGTCCAGCTTCATGTGTCCTTTGTGGCTTCCGTAGCCACAGTTCTGACATGAAACAACATTTTAAAGATCAGCAAACTGTTTTCAGCTTGAGCCTTCCTGACCCTGAGTAGTGAAGTACAGTTTAGCAGCAGCTGGGAGTTGCTGGTTTGATTCCCTGCAGAGCCGTCGCCACACTTCGCCTCTCTGCACCGTCAGTCAGCCGTTAGAGGAGCTGAAGCAGCAAATTAGAGTTAAACTCATCATAACACATCAGCGCCGCATAAACCGCCTGCAGCAGCGCAGTCCGACCGACCCGGATCAGCTGGATCAGCGCCGCTGGATCCAATCATAGCGGCGCCGCTGCTGCTGAGCCCGGTTCTGGTTCTGGTTCTGATCCGTCCAGCTGGCTACGCACAGAACTGCTGAAAACTGAATCATCTTCTACAGACTGAGTCATGTGCGAACCGGTCTGGTTCTGGATTGTTGCCTGGAGCAGGTTCCCAAAGTGGGGTTGGAGGGCCCTGAGGGGGCTGTGAGGCTCCAAGTGTCGGGTCCAAACCAGATTTGATGTTTGGACCCGATATGAGGCGTACGGAGGCAAGACTAGGAAAAACTGAACGAATCACTGAAGATAACTAAATGTGAACATATAAATATAAAAATGTCAAAGTTAAATAATCCAATCTGTGAGAATTATGTGTTCAATATTGGACTGGTTTCCTAAAGGTTCTGGACCCGTTTGGGCTTTCATTCGGTCTTATTTTGGAGGTTCTGGATCCAGTTGTAGTTCTGGTTCTGGACCCATATTAGGCTGTCATTAGGTTCTGCCGCCTCCATCAGAACCAGCCACCAGTAGATCTGCTGGTTCTGCTCCGTCGGTCAGACCGGTGTCGATTGATTGGACCGGTGCTGATCGGACGGTGCTGATTGGACGGTGCTGATCGGATCGGTGCTGATCGGACCGGTGCTGATCCGACCCGGTCTCTCTCTCTCTCTCCATGCTGCAGCTTTCCCTCCGTCCTCTCAGCTGTTGCCGTAGCGACCGTGCTGATGAACGTCGGATGCAGATGGAGAGTCATTAGGGCGTCAATCTGTCGGAGCGTTTACCCAGAATCCCCGGCGAGGCCCTGGAGAGCACTAGGCTTTGAATAGGCCCTTTGTCAGGAGAGCTGCCAGCAGGAGGCGGGACGATCAGAGAGAGAGAGAGAGAGTGTGTGTGTGTGTGTGTGTGTGTGTGTGTGTGTGTGTGTGTTGTGTGTGTTAATAATCTAGTTTATGGTTATTATTTACGGCACGGCGGTGGCAGCCGTTACTGCGGTCGTTATTCTCAGCCTCTTCATCAGACGTGTCGGGTCGTTTGGCGGCGGTCCAAACCCATCAGAACCACACAGGATGTAAACAACCACAGGTCTGGTTCTGGACCTGTTGAATCCCATCTGGACCAGGTCCGACTGGTTCTGTTGACCTGGTTGGTTTGGGCCAGTTCTGGTTCTGGTTTCTTTCAGGTTATTGATTCAGAACCAGTTTGGTACTTTTTGTGGACGGGTTCAGGCTCCTCCTGGTGCCAGGTCCGGCTCGGTTCCCAGGAGAACTCCTAGTCTGGTTTGGACCCGTTTCAGCTGATTCAGTTCAGTCTTGGTTTCTGGTCCAGTTTGGATCGGTTCTGGTTCTGTCCTGGTGGTTCTGATGTTTTAGCTAAAAACCATCCATTAAAATGTTTCAGTATCTGGAAAACAGAACCCATGAGCAATCCAGGAGAGTCCCAGAACATTTGGTCAGCTGGATGAATCAGATTATTTCAAACTAGTTATTGTTTGGTTATTTCTGCCGTCACAAAGTCACTGAGGCTGAATACAATCAGGAATGTTTGCTAACGGAAAATAAAACTTGATTCAAAGCAGGAAATTGCATTTATTGGCCTTATTGTTATCCTCTCTCTCTCTGTCTCTCTCTCTGTCTCTCTGTCTCTCTCTGTCTCTCTCTCTGTCTCTCTCTCTGTCTCTCTCTCTCTGTCTCTCTCTCTCTCTCTGTCTCTCTCTCTCTCTGTCTCTCTCTCTGTCTCTCTGTCTCTGTCTCTGTCTCTGTCTCTCTGTCTCTCTCTGTCTCTGTCTCTCTCTGTCTCTCTCTGTCTCTCTCTCTGTCTCTCTCTGTCTCTCTCTCTCTCTGTCTCTCTCTCTCTCTGTCTCTCTGTCTCTCTCTCTCTCTCTGTCTCTCTGTCTCTCTCTCGTCTCTCTCTCTGTCTCTCTGTCTCTCTCTCTGTCTCTCTCTCTGTCTCTCTCTCTGTCTCTCTCTCTCTGTCTCTCTCTGTCTCTCTCTCTGTCTCTGTCTCTCTCTCTCTGTCTCTCTCTTTCTCTGTCTCTCTCTCTCTCTGTCTCTCTCTCTCTCTCTGTCTCTCTCTCTCTCTGTCTCTCTCTTCTCTCTCTCTCTCTCTCTGTCTCTCTCTCTCTCTGTCTCTCTCTCTCTCTCTCTGTCTCTCTCTGTCTCTCTCTCTGTCTCTCTGTCTCTCTGTCTCTCTCTGTCTCTCAGGACTACATGCAGAACGTTCACGGGAAGGAAATCGATCTTCTGCGGACCACCGTTAAGGTTCCGGGGAAGAGGCCGCCGCGCGCCGTCTCAGCCTGCGGCGCCGGGTCCAACCAGAACGCCAACGGCCTGGTGAAGGACATGAGCAATGTCCAGCTGGGACCGGCCTCAGGTCAGTTTCAGGGGCAGCTCTGTGGCCCTGGGGCAGGCCGGCCACTGAGGTTTCAGTTTATTAAACTGGATTTTAATCTGGGCTGAAAGGATCTATCAGATTAATTGAGATTATTGATTAATTGTTAGGTGGGATATTTGGTGAAAAAAACATGTTCAGAGCAGCAGTTCATCCAGAACTACAGAAATAAAACTGGTCCTGCTGTGTTCAGGCAGCGTAGGAAACGCCGGCGTTCTGCCGCTTCCTGAGTGTTTGATGATCTCAGCTGAATGCAGGCCAGCAGCTCCTGTTCATCATCTGGGTCCTTCAGAAACCGGGCCGGCCTTGGTGGAACAAGCGCCGCGCTTCACCTGATGGAGGCGTCGTAAAACAAAAGCCGGGGGCGCCGCCGCGTGTCGCGCTCTGCTGCATAAAAGCAGCTCAGAGGCTTAAATCAAGCAGGAGAACCGCTGAGAGCATGAATATTCAGGATCCATCACTAATTAATGCCATGAATATTAATGCAGTGAGCGAGCAGGCTGAGACTGGAGGGAGAGGAAACAACAGCAACAGGAAGAGGAAACACTGGAGGAGGAAACACTGGGACGGGGAATGCAGGAGAAAATTTGATGCTACCTCCCACCTGCAGGTGGCAGTGTTTCTCTGACTTCATGTCAGCTTAGAGTTCATTATCGATACAAACAAAAACTCATTTACCAAATTTAAAAATCTCTAATATTCTTGTAAATATTCTAAATAACCTCCATTATATTTCAGATTTTTATTGAAAAAGATTTGTTAAAATCATGAAACCTGCTCTGAATGTGTTGTTCTTCCAGCTAATGGCCTTCATATATCCTCCAATTAGCGATTAATCGATTACTAAATCGCTCGATCCATCACGATTAATCAGATTGTTGGTTTCAGCCGCAGTGTTTAGTCCTGTAGTTCCCTGTGCTGCCTGCAGAGGGCAGCCTGCTGACCTGCTGACCCTCCTCAGGCTCGGTGTCCAGCAGCACGTCGGCGTCCCAGATGGCGAGCGGCGTCAGCCTGGTGTCCTTCAACAGCCGCGGCCTGGAGGGCCTCCACCAGCGCTCCTACTCCGTCTCCAGCGCCGACCAGTGGGCCGACGCCACCGTCATCGCCAACTCTGGAGTCGGCACAGGTGAGAGGCTCAGGAGGCCAGACACGCAGCAGCACCAGGGGGCCCTGGGCCTCACGGTGCAGCTGCATGGTAGAGCTCTGTGGCTGCTGGGGTGTGTGCTTGACTTGAAGTGGCAGCATTACGTCCTCAGGACCAAACACACACACACACAGACTGACAGCTGTCAGGCCGCGTGTTGTCATGATGATAAGTCTGACTGGCAGCCCCCCACCAGCCGTCCTAAAGCAGCGTTTAAAGCTGTGAAGCTGGTGGAGAGGAGAAGTGTTGCTGCTTGTACTCAACTCCCCCACACTGACGATCAACAAAATCATGGAACTGGTTTCAAACCAGTTTAATGCAAACAGAAAACTGCTTGAAACAAACCTCACACCGTTATGCTAAATCATTTCCACACTTCAGCCAAGACCAAGACCGAATTTTCATCCAGTTCAAACCAATCAGAAACCAGTTCAAACCAATAAGAAACCAGTTCAAACCAACATAACCAGTTCAAACCAATCAGAAACCAGTTCACACCAACATAAACCAGTTCACACCAACATAAACCAGTTCAAACCAATCAGAAACCAGTTCAAACCAAGATAAACCAGTTCAAACCAACATAAACCAGTTCAAACCAACAAAAACCAGTTCAAACCGACATAAACCAGCTCAAACCAATCAGAAACCAGTTCAAACCAACCAGATACCAGTTTCAAACCAATCAGAAACCAGTTCAAACCAACATAAACCAGTTCAAACCAATCAGAAACCAGTTCAAACCAACATAAACCAGTTCAAACCAACGTAAACCAGTTCATACCAACCAGAAACCAGTTCAAACCAACATAAACCAGTTCAAACCAATCAGAAACCAGTTCAAACCAACATAAACCAGTTCAAACCAATCAGAAACCAGTTCAAACCAACATAAACCAGTTCAAACCAACAAAAACCAGTTCAAACCAATCAGAAACCAGTTCAAACCAATCAGAAACCAGTTCAAACCAACATAACCAGTTCAAACCAATCAGAAACCGGTTCAAACCAACATTAAAAAGTTCAAACCAATCAGAAACCAGTTCAAACCAACATAAACCAGTTCAAACCAACATAAACCTGTTCAAACCAATCAGAAACCAGTTCAAACCAACAAAAAAACCAGTTCAAACCAATCAGAAACCAGTTCAAACCAATCAGAAACCAGTTCAAACCAATCAGAAACCAGTTCAAACCAACAACCAGTTCAAACCAACATAAACCAGTTCAAACCAACATAAACCAGTTCAAACCAATCAGAAACCAGTTCAAACCAACATAAACCAGTTCAAACCAACGTAAACCAGTTCATACCAACCAGAAACCAGTTCAAACCAACATAAACCAGTTCAAACCAATCAGAAACCAGTTCAAACCAACATAAACCAGTTCAAACCAACAAAAACCAGTTCAAACCAATCAGAAACCAGTTCAAACCAATCAGAAACCAGTTCAAACCAACATAAACCAGTTCAAACCAACAAAAACCAGTTCAAACCAACATAAACCAGTTCAAACCAACATAAACCAGTTCAAACCAACATAAACCAGTTCAGACCAATCAGAAACCGGTTCAAACCAACATAAACCAGTTCAAACCATAAACCTGTTCAAACCAATCAGAAACCAGTTCAAACCAATCAGAAACCAGTTCAAACCAATCAGAAACCAGTTCAAACCAACATAAACCAGTTCAAACCAACCAGAAACCAGTTCAAACCAATCAGAAACCAGTTCAAACCAATCAGAAACCAGTTCAAACCAACAAAAACCAGTTCAAACCAACATAAACCAGTCAAACCAACATAAACCAGTTCAAACCAACATAACCAGTTCAAACCAATCAGAAACCAGTTCAAACCAACATAAACCAGTTCAAACCAACATAAACCAGTTCAAACCAATCAGAAACCAGTTCAAACCAACATAAACCAGTTCAAACCAACATAAACCAGTTCAAACCAATCAGAAACCAGTTCAAACCAATCGGAAACCAGTTCAAACCAATCGGAAACCAGTTCAAACCAACATAAACCAGTTCAAACCAACATAAACCAGTTCAAACCAATCAGAAACCAGTTCAAACCAACATAAACCAGTTCAAACCAACATAAACCAGTTCAAACCAACATAAACCAGTTCAAACCAATCGGAAACCAGTTCAAACCAATCGGAAACCAGTTCAAACCAACATAAACCAGTTCAAACCAATCAGAAACCAGTTCAAACCAACGTAAACCAGTTCAAACCAATCAGAAACCAGTTCATACCAATCGGAAACCAGTTCAAACCAATCGGAAACCAGTTCAAACCAATCGGAAACCAGTTCAAACCAATCAGAAACCAGTTCATACCAATCGGAAACCAGTTCAAACCAATCGGAAACCAGTTCAAACCAATCGGAAACCAGTTCAAACCAATCAGAAACCAGTTCAAACCAATCAGAAACCAGTTCAAACCAATCGGAAACCAGTTCAAACCAACATAAACCAGTTCAAACCAATCAGAAACCAGTTCAAACCAATCGGAAACCAGTTCAAACCAACATAAACCAGTTCAAACCAATCAGAAACCAGTTCAAACCAATCGGAAACCAGTTCAAACCAATCAGAAACCAGTTCAAACCAATCAGAAACCAGTTCAAACCAACATAAACCAGTTCAAACCAACATAAACCAGTTCAAACCAATCAGAAACCAGTTCAAACCAACATAAACCAGTTCAAACCAACATAAACCAGTTCAAACCAACATAAACCAGTTCAAACCAATCAGAAACCAGTTCAAACCAACATAACCAGTTCAAACCAACATAAACCAGTTTCAAACCAATCAGAAACCAGTTCAAACCAATCAGAAACCAGTTCAAACCAATCGGAAACCAGTTCAAACCAATCAGAAACCAGTTCAAACCAGATTGTAAAAGTTGAAAACCTTTGAATTTGTTTCAGTTTAGTCCTATAAAAGAGATTTCTTCTCCAGATATTTTTCCAGTAAATCAGAAACTGGTACCGGAGAAGAAATTCAAATGATGAAATAAAAACACATTAGAAACAGACATGAGTTTTAAACGAGGCAGTAAGTTATTAAAATGAGCCAGAGGTCCGGTTGGTTCCAGGGTCTGCAAAGTTCCTGGACTTCTGAGAAAAACAAACAAGTTTTATGTAGTCTAGTTAAGTTTACCTGAACTGAAGCTCATTTTTACAGTGTAGCTGAAGCATTCAGTTATTAAATGAATATAAAACCTTCCCAGCTGCAGTTCTGCGGCGGCAGAGTGATGCTGCGGGGGGCGCTGCGGACCGGAGCAGGTCTGCAGATGGCGGCCGTTAATTGCCGCTCGGGGACGGCGTCTTGTCAGCAGAGATAAGTTGTCACATTTTCCACTTGAGCTGAGACTAAACGATTGTAAAGTAAGTTATGGCCGTCCTTGGGCGCCGCGCGGGTCGGGGTTCCGTTCAGACGCACGGAGCTGCTGTCAGCGCGCCGCCGCGCCGGCCGATTGATGAGAGCCGAATGTTATTTTATTCCGCCGCTGGTCACAGCTGTCAGCCTACTGAGGGAGGCCAGAGAGACGCGGCGGCGCAGCGGAGAGGCTCAGGCCCGACCGCTGCAGACTACCCACCGAATCAGACAAATCACAGCAGGTCGCGACCTCACAGACACCAAAACCAACAAACAGAGCCATGAGCCAGGAGACGGAAATAACAAAACCACTACGTCTGAACTCAGCGTTAATCCTGGTTCTGATTACGACATTTCAGAACCAGATTCACTGGTTCTGTGTCCAGTGACAAAACCTCTGAGACCAGATTAATACCAGTCCAAGACTAATTTACCATGTCACTAAAACCAGTCCTAAACCAGTTAGGAACTGGTTCCAGTCTAAAACCAGTCCTGCTAGAGACTGGTTTTCTCTAGCAGGACCAGAGAAAACCAGTCTAGACTGGTTTGGTACCAGTCTAGACTGGTTTGGTACCAATTTAGACTGGTTTGGTACCAGTCTAGACTGGTTTGGTACCAGTCTAGACTGGTTTGGTACCAATTTAGACTGGTTTGGTACCAGTCTAGACTGGTTTGGTACCAGTCTAGACTGGTTTGGTACCAGTTTAGACTGGTTTGGTACCAGTCTAGACTGGTTTGGTACCAGTCTGGTTTGGTACCAGTCTAGACTGGTTTGGTACCAGTCTAGACTGGTTGGTACCAGTCTAGACTGGTTTGGTACCAGTTTAGACTGGTTTGGTACCAGTCTAGACTGGTTTGGTACCAGTCTAGACTGGTTTGCTACCAGTCTAGACTGGTTTGGTACAAATTTAGACTGGTTTGGTACCAGTCTAGACTGGTTTGGTACCAGTCTAGACTGGTTTGCTACCAGTCTAGACTGGTTTGCTACCAGTCTAGACTGGTTTGGTACCAATTTAGACTGGTTTGGTACCAGTCTAGACTGGTTTGGTACCAGTCTAGACTGGTTTGGTACCAGTCTAGACTGGTTTGCTACCAGTCTAGACTGGTTTGGTACCAATTTAGACTGGTTTGGTACCAGTTTAGACTGGTTTGGTACCAGTCTAGACTGGTTTGGTACCAGTCTAGACTGGTTTGGTACCAATTTAGACTGGTTTGGTACCAGTCTAGACTGGTTTGGTACCAATTTAGACTGGTTTGGTACCAGTCTAGACTGGTTTGGTACCAGTCTAGACTGGTTTGCTACCAGTCTAGACTGGTTTGGTACCAATTTAGACTGGTTTGGTACCAGTCTAGACTGGTTTGGTACCAGTCTAGACTGGTCTGGATCCAGTAAGCAGAACCCTGGCTTGAACACAGCCTCATGTAAACCTTGTGTCTTCTGTCTCATTGCTGCTCTACGTTGCAGACACCGGTTTGGGTGACTCAGTCTGCTCCAGTCCCAGTATCCAGTACCACCAGTCCAAGATGGAGCCTCCCCCATCACCGCACGCCAACCGCAAGAAGCACCGGCGGAAGAAGAGCACCAGCAACTTCAAGGCGGACGGCTTCTCTGGTACTGCAGAAGGTAACGCCATCCCCCCTCCCATCGCCTCACTTTCCTCACCCGGGTTTGACCCCGGACCGGTTCTGGTCCGGCCTGCGGACACGTGAGCGGGTTCTGAGACCCGGGTTTGGAAACGCTGCCATGTGATCGTCTGAGACTCCTGACCTCTAGAGGGAGCGAGGGATCTCTCCATCCTCATTCCTCTGCCCTTCATCTCGGCCTCCATCTTTGATTTGTTTCAAAACTTTAAACCAAATGTCTGTTTGCTGCAATTTACCGAGTCCGACTGGGACGACTAGAATCCGGTCAAGATCCAGTCAGGATCCCGTCAGGATCCAGTCAGGATCCAGTCAGGATCCGGTAGAGTTCAGGTCTGATCTAATCAGTTTTGACTCGCCGGGTTGTTGCCAACCAATCAGGGCCTCCATTATCACTCGCTGACTTCCTGGAACAAAGGTTTGTGTAACAGGAGCAGCGTTCTGATTGGCCTGTGCCAGCGTAGCTCCGCCCCCGTCGATCCCTGGCCAGCGGTTGGTTGTCTCTGATTCGGCGTTGCTAATGGAGGCAGTCTGTGCATGGCTGAACAGATGTGGCGGCTGCAGCAGATGTGTAATGTTGGTCTCTCCATCAGCGCGGCAACAAGCAGCAGACATGACGAGTGGCTGCCTGAGTGATGGATGGGCGCTGCATCCTGCGCTCTGAGTAAATGTGATTTTCTCTCTTTATTCTGTCTTTATTCCTTTAATCCTGGCCGCCATCGCTCCCCATCGCCTTCGCCTCCTCCGCCCGTCAGCAGCAGACTCGCCCCGATTAGTCAGCTTAAGTGAAATATTATAAATAATCCAGCGTATTGAAATCTTTTATCAGCTGTGTCACTTTCATTATTCAATAAGCGATTAGTAACAGTCTTCCCAATTTAGCCATTAAGCACTGAGCGCGCTCAGTCGGCCGTCGGCCTGTCACGCCGGGCGGCTGGTGAAGTATCTAGGTGTCAGAGCGAGGCCCGGGTAATTTACGACGGGGGACCGCCCTCTGCGGCCGACCACACACACACACACACACACTCCTCACACTCACACACACCCCTCACACACACACCCCTCACACACACACTCACACACACACCCCTCACACACACACACACACACACTCACACACTCCTCACACACACACACTCCTCACACACACTCACACACTCCACACACACACACGCAGGTGAGATCACCTGCTTAGTTCACAGCTTCACACATACATTACAATAAAGCTTCAAACCATCGTCTCAGCTGAAAAATTCCAAAACAGACCCAGTTCAACAGGAAATGACATCAGAGCTTCAACCACAGGTTTTGGTCCTGTCTGGGTTTATTTCCATTCACTAAACTGGTTTAAACCAGACTGAACCAGTTTGAAGCAGATCTGACTGTAAACAAAGGGAATGAACAGAAATAATCCAAAACTCAGAAGTCAGAAATGTGAAGCAGTAGCAAAGCAAGACAAACATCAGAACCACAGCAGTCATGAAGCAGCATCAGGCCAGCGGGGATCCCAGGCCCAGCGGGGATCCCAGGACCAGCGGGGATCCCAGGCCCAGCGGGGATCCCAGGCCCGGTCCACATTAAACCAGTTTGGACCCAAAGCCAGTATCAGTAAACCAGTCACAGAGGTGCCCGGATAGGCCTCAGCATATCTTCTGTGAGCTTTCAAGCTGACCTCTGACCCCCAGAGTCTGAAGTTTCCTCTTTGACTGGAGACCCCGTGACCTCAGACCAGAGCTGATTGGCCGTTCCTCTGGCAGGTGATCAGTGTGTTTCGCCAGGTGAGCCGCAGAAGGAGAAATGAGGGCGAAGCTGTCTGGTCGGACCAGGTTCTGGTCGGGTTCTGTTTGGGTCAGAACCGGGTTCTGGTCGGGTTCTGTTTGGGTCAGAACCGGGTTCTGGTCGGGTTCTGTTTGGGTCAGAACCGGGTTCTGGTCGGGTTCTGTTTGGGTCAGAACCAGGTTCTGGTCGGGTTCTGTTTGGGTCAGAACCGGGTTCTGGTCAGGTTCTGTTTGGGTCAGAACCGGGTTCTGGTCGGGTTCTGTTTGGGTCAGAACCGGGTTCTGGTCAGGTTCTGTTTGGGTCAGAACCGGGTTCTGGTCGGGTTCTGTTTGGGTCAGAACCGGGTTCTGGTCGGGTTCTGTTTGGGTCAGAACCGGAGCCCTGCGGTCCCCCCCCCCTGCCTCTGGGAGGGAGAACAGTCGTCTGCAATATTTTCCAGGTTATTAATGCTGTAAAATGCTGCGAATAATGTGCGGAGTAATGACCTGTGTCGCAGAGCAATAGTGTGTGCGCTGACATTTAAGGCTTTTAATTTGTGTTTCCTGAGGCCGCCGCCTGTCTGCCGGCGCGCGGCCGGCCGGCCCGCCGCCTGACGGCCCGCCGCGCGTCCCGCTGAAACGTCGGCTGTTTGGGTTGTTCTGTTTGTGCTGCTAAAGGTTGCCGGTGTCAGAGTTCACAAATTGCCTCGGCGCCACCTCCCTTTGCCGAATGTCAGCCACAGTAGCCGAGAGCGCTGGCAGTAATTACTGCCGCCTGTGTGTTCTGGTGTGTGCATACGTTTTTAGTCGACCCGCAACGTTTAAACCCGCCGCTGACACAAACGCTCTGGGAAACGAGCAAGGCATCAAAACAACCTTCATGTCCTGCTGGGGGTGCGACGCTGCTGCCCCCATGGCAACCCATCCAGAACCAAAACCAGTATGAAACCTAAACCAGTCTGCAGTTTAAGGCCAAAACCTTCACACTGGCTTTAAACCAAAGTCTGTATCTACAAAAACTATGAACAGTTTTCAGCCAAAACCAGTAAAACCAGCATTCAAAACCAGTTTCAAACCAAAGCCGGAGTCAGACTGAACCTTAGGCCAAGACCATGTAACCAAACTAATACCAGTTCCAGTTGGTGTTATAAACCAGTTCAGAAGCTTAGCGTTGGAGCAGAAACTGGCTCTGAGGTCCGATCAGCACCAGTCACTGGACAGGACCAGTGTGAACCAGAAAACTCTCCCATAACCGGTTTAAACTAAAGCCAGTGGAGACATGAGCTGATTGGCTCAAAGACTGGAACCAGTCAGAACCAGTTTAAAGCAGTTTTAGATGCTACGTTTGATGCAGTTACCTGTAGTGGCCACTGGGGGGCAGCAGTCTGCGTTGCACTAGCTGAGCCATGTTTTTGTCGTTTCTGGACTGAACCAGGAGTTCTGGACCCGGAGGCTGCAGGTGTTTGTTGACCTTTAGAGCTGTAAATGTCAGGCCGGTTCTGGTCCAATCTGGACCTCCTGGTTCTATTCATGAGCTGCTGCGGCCCGCCGAGTTGGCGTTTAATCTGTGGCTTTGAGGGCGCACGCTCTTTGTTGGTCCTCCCTCCCTCTGGAAGCAGAGCATCATGGGAATTTAATTACGGCGAGTCCCTGCAGGGCGGAGGCGGCGCCGTCATTCAGAACCAGGAGGCTGTCGGATCTCAAACATGAGGCGGCAGATCAAGTTTGGACCTGGTTCTGCTGGAAGCCACAGACTGACTCTCCCTCTGTTAAGCTACAATCGGTTCTTTTTGTTCTGGTCCAGCCAGACTCAGGTTCCTCTACTTCTCTCTTTCTTCCTAACAACACTTCCTGCCTGACCGGCCACTTCCTGAAAAAGCTAAACTTAAAGTTAAGGTTTTAAAATGTCAGGTGGCATAAAGATGATAGAAACACTTCTGGCTTTTCAGCGGGACAAATGCAGCTTCTTTTCTATCAGCAAAAGCTTCACACCAGGCTAATAAAGCTAACGCTAGCTAACTAGCTAGTCTGTCTATCAAACCAGACTACTGAGGCTAACGCTAGCTAACTAGCTAGTCTGCCTGTCAAACCAGGCTAATAAAGCTAACGCTAGCTAACTAGCTAGTCTGTCTATCAAACCAGACTACTGAGGCTAACGCTAGCTAACTAGCCAGTCTGCCTGTCAAACCAGACTACTGAGGCTAACGCTAGCTAACTAGCTAGTCTGCCTGTCAAACCAGACTACTGAGGCTAACGCTAGCTAACTAGCTAGTCTGTCTGTCAAACCAGACTACTGAGGCTAACGCTAGCTAACTAGCTAGTCTGCCTGCCAAACCAGACTACTGAGGCTAACGCTAGCTAACTAGCTAGTATGCCTGTCAAACCAGACTACTGAGGCTAATGCTAGCTAACTAGCTAGTCTGCCTCTGTCCTGGATCCAAAGCCGGGTTCACAGTTTGCGTGATGCTTGTAATGTAGCAACCATCTTGTATGTTTCTAGTTTTTCTCTCTTGGCCGAATTCAAAGTTTTGTGTTTGACTGAAACTTGAAACCTGAAAGATTGATGGAAAAACAAGAAACCAACAAATTCATCTTGGTCCAACAACCAAAATGAATTTCACAAGCCCTTGTTGGCTTGATGACTGGATGATCTAATTGTGGTGAAAACATCAATAAAACTCAGAGTTTGTGTAGTTTAGTGTTTATCTGAAGTAGAGGGAACCGGCCTGGTGGTTCAGTTTGCCGTAAAACCGAAAGGAACGTGAATCCATCACTTATTCAGTTGGAGTTTTATGATGTTTCTGCTAATATTGCCTGTTGGGACTTTCAGAGTAAAAGCACAGAATGATTCCGGGCCGGTTCTCTGACCCGTTTTGTCCTCCACCAGAACAAGAGGAGAACTTTGAGTTTCACCATCGTGTCGCTGACGGGTCAGACGTGGAACTTCGAGGCCACGTCGTACGAAGAGCGGGACGCCTGGGTCCAGGTCATCGAGAGCCAGATCCTGGCCAGCCTGCAGTCCTGCGAGAGCAGCAAAACAAGGTGACCCGTTTGGTTCTGTTGGTTCTGTTGGAGGTTTAAAGCGACTCCTCAGCACCGGATCTCCTCTCAAACCCAATCTTTCCCGTTTCCATCCCATAATTACAGAATAGCAATTACCGTCGGGTCGGCCCGGTTCTCCGTCTCGGCCGTGTTTACGCCTAAGGCACTGAGCCTCTCAGAGGCCCCTCCCCCACCCGTTTAATTTGTTTGCCATGTTCTCCCTTCACGCCTGAAACATGTGTCTGTGATGACGTGTGTTGATCTAACCGGGCTCTGTGGACCCGACCTTCTCTCCTCCAGTCTCGTCTGACCAGCCAGTCGGAGGCGCTGGCGCTGCAGTCCATCCGGAGCATCCGGGGCAACGGGCGCTGCGCCGACTGCGACGTACCGAGTGAGTGAGCAGCCGTCTGTTCTAACGCTTTCACCACAGAAGAAGAAAGGAGGTCCTGGTTTGTAGGTTTCTATGACCTGAAGGGAAACCTTTGAGTTTACAACAGGAAATAGATCAGCAACAGGAAGTACAGGAACTACAGGAAGTAAATCAGCAACAGGAAGTACAGGAACAACAGGAAGTACAGGAACAACAGGAAGTAGATCAGCAACAGGAAGTACAGGAACAACAGGAAGTAGATCAGCAACAGGAAGTACAGGAACAACAGGAAATAGATCAACAGGAAGTACAGGAACAACAGGAAATAGATCAGCAACAGGAAGTACAGGAACAACAGGAAATAGATCAGCAACAGGAAGTACAGGAACAACAGGAAATAGATTAGCAACAGGAAGTACAGGAACAACAGGAAGTAGATCAGCAACAGGAAGTACAATAACAGAAAGTACAGCAACAACAGGAAATAGATCAGCAACAGGAAGTACAGGAACAACAGGAAATAGATTAGCAACAGGAAGTACAGGAACAACAGGAAGTAGATCAGCAACAGGAAGTACAATAACAGAAAGTACAGCAACAACAGGAAATAGATCAGCAACAGGAAGTACAGCAACAACAGGAAATAGATCAGCAACAGGAAGTACAGGAACAATCCAGCTCTATTGCCAAGGCGCTCCTGGTGACTCGATGGATGACTGTAGGTAGTTGCTGTGTTTGTTTGGACTAGGCCATTCAGTGGAAGATTTCCAGTTTCAATGTTTTGCCATCCTGTGACACCCAGCTGGTTCTGGTTCTGCTCCCAGACCCAGACTGGGCCAGCCTCAACCTGGGCGCTCTGATCTGCATCGAGTGCTCTGGGATCCACCGGAACCTGGGGACCCATCTGTCCCGGGTCCGGTCCCTGGACCTGGACGAGTGGCCGCTGGAGCTCATCAAGGTGATGTCGGCCATCGGCAACGAGCTGGCCAATAGCGTGTGGGAGGCCAACGCCCAGGGCCGCCTCAAACCGGGGGCGGACGCCAGCAGGTAGGACACGCCACCGGAACCGGGCCGCGGCCGTTGACACCAACAGAACCGGATCAGAATGTTGCTGCTCATGTTGTTGTTTCCCCTTGTTGCTCCATATGGCCGTGTGTCGCCCCATGCTGCCCCAAGTCACCTTGTGTTACCACCTTGTCCCCGTGTGTTGCCCTTGTTGCCCCATGTTGCCCCAATGCTGCCCCATTTTGCCCCTTGTTGCCCCATGTTGCCGTTTTTGCCCCATGTCTCCGTGTGTTGCCCTTGTTGCCCTATATCCCTGTGTGTTGCCCCATGTCGCCATGTGTTGCCCCATGCTGCCCTATGTTGCCCCATGCTGCCCTATGTTGCCCCGTGCTGCCCTATGTTGCCCCATGTCGCTATGAGTTGCCCCATGTCGCTGTGTGTTGCCCCATGCTGCCCTATGTTGCCCCATGTCGCTGTGTGTTGCCCCATGCTGCCCTATGTTGCCCCATGTCGCTGTGTGTTGCCCCATGCTGCCCTATGTTGCCCCATGCTGCCCTATGTTGCCCCATGTCGCTGTGTGTTGCCCCATGCTGCCCTATGTTGCCCCATGCTGCCCTATGTTGCCCCATGTCGCTATGAGTTGCCCCATGTTGCTGTGTGTTGCCCCATGCTGCCCTATGTTGCCCCATGTCGCTGTGTGTTGCCCCATGCTGCCCTATGTTGCCCCATGCTGCCCTATGTTGCCCCATGCTGCCCTATGTTGCCCCATGTCGCTATGAGTTGCCCCATGTTGCTGTGTGTTGCCCCATGCTGCCCTATGTTGCCCCATGTCGCTGTGTGTTGCCCCATGCTGCCCTATGTTGCCCCATGCTGCCCTATGTTGCCCCGTGCTGCCCTATGTTGCCCCATGTCGCTATGAGTTGCCCCATGTCGCTGTGTGTTGCCCCATGCTGCCCTATGTTGCCCCATGTCGCTGTGTGTTGCCCCATGCTGCCCTATGTTGCCCCATGCTGCCCTATGTTGCCCCATGTCGCTGTGTGTTGCCCCATGCTGCCCTATGTTGCCCCATGTCGCTGTGTGTTGCCCCATGCTGCCCTATGTTGCCCCATGCTGCCCTATGTTGCCCCATGTCGCCGTGAGTTGCCCCTTGTTGCCCCGTGCTGCCCTATGTTGCCCCATGTCGCCGTGAGTTGCCCCTTGTTGCCCCATGCTGCCCTATGTTGCCCCATGTGGCTATGAGTTGCCCCATGTCGCTGTGTGTTGCCCCATGTCGCTATGAGTTGCCCCATGTCGCTGTGTGTTGCCCCATGCTGCCCTATGTTGCCCCATGCTGCCCTATGTTGCCCCATGTCGCCGTGAGTTGCCCCTTGTTGCCCCTGCTGCAGCAGCAGGTCGATACTGTCTCCATTAGCTCGCCCCTCTCTCTCCGGTTCCTCTTTCTGTCGTTTCTCCTCAGATTCTGCTGACGCTTTAACGTCTCGCATTATAAATTATGGGCATCAAATGCTGCTGTGATCTCTGCGTTTCTCCTTCTGCCATCAAACTCGTTTGGAGGCTTCCATCCTCCCATCTCACTGGGGAAGCGCTTCCTCCAGCCGCCAGCAGGTGGCGCCGCGCCGACTCTGAATGGAACAGAAGTAAACCAATTAAAGATGGCTTCCGTCCTTTACTCAGCTGAGAGCAGCAACACGTTAGCATTTCGTTAATCTAGTTAAAGGAGAAACTTCGTGCTGCGATGACGTCGGGGACGGCAAGGCCCACGTTGGGAGGCCTTGAGTTCTCGACGCGGGTTCGATTCCCGGACCCAACGATATTTGCCGCATGTCTTCCCCCCTGTTCTTGCCACTTCCTGTCAGCTGACTTTAGACCGCAAAGGAGAAACGATGACACAGCAAAAATAGTTACCGAGGTGAATGCTACAGAGGTGAACGTGTGAATGCTAGAAGTGAACGTGTGAATGCTAGAGGTGAACGTGTGAATGCTAGAGGTGAACGTGTGAATGCTAGAGGTGAATGTGTGAATGCTACAGAGGTGAACGTGTGAATGCTAGAGGTGAACGTGTGAATGCTAGAGATGAACGTGTGAATGCTATAGGTGAATGTGTGAATGCTAGAGGTGAACGTGTGAATGCTAGAGGTGAATGTGTGAATGCTACAGAGGTGAACGTGTGAATGCTAGAGGTGAACGTGTGAATGCTACAGAGGTGAACGTGTGAATGCTAGAGGTGAACGTGTGAATGCTACAGAGGTGAACGTGTAAATGCTAGAGGTGAACGTGTGAATGCTACAGAGGTGAACGTGTGAATGCTAGAGGTGAACGTGTAAATGCTAGAGGTGAACGTGTGAATGCTAGAGGTGAACGTGTGAATGCTACAGAGGTGAACGTGTGAATGCTAGAGGTGAACGTGTGAATGCTAGAGGTGAACGTGTAAATGCTAGAGGTGAACGTGTGAATGCTACAGAGGTGAACGTGTGAATGCTAGAGGTGAACGTGTGAATGCTAGAGGTGAACGTGTGAATGCTACAGAGGTGAACGTGTGAATGCTAGAGGTGAACGTGTGAATGCTAGAGGTGAACGTGTGAATGCTACAGAGGTGAACGTGTAAATGCTAGAGGTGAACGTGTGAATGCTAGAGGTGAACGTGTGAATGCTAGAGGTGAACGTGTGAATGCTAGAGGTGAACGTGTGAATGCTACAGAGGTGAACGTGTGAATGCTAGAGGTGAACATGTGAATGCTACAGAGGTGAACGTGTGAATGCTAGAGGTGAACGTGTGAATGCTAGAGGTGAACGTGTAAATGCTAGAGGTGAACATGTGAATGCTAGAGGTGAACGTGTGAATGCTAGAGGTGAACATGTGAATGCTAGAGGTGAACGTGTGAATGCTACAGAGGTGAACGTGTGAATGCTAGAGGTGAACGTGTGAATGCTAGAGGTGAACGTGTAAATGCTAGAGGTGAACGTGTGAATGCTACAGAGGTGAACGTGTGAATGCTAGAGGTGAACGTGTGAATGCTAGAGGTGAACATGTGAATGCTACAGAGGTGAACGTGTGAATGCTAGAGGTGAACGTGTGAATGCTAGAGGTGAACGTGTGAATGCTACAGAGGTGAACGTGTAAATGCTAGAGGTGAACGTGTGAATGCTAGAGGTGAACGTGTGAATGCTAGAGGTGAACGTGTGAATGCTAGAGGTGAACGTGTGAATGCTAGAGGTGAACGTGTGAATGCTACAGAGGTGAACGTGTGAATGCTAGAGGTGAACGTGTGAATGCTAGAGGTGAACGTGTGAATGCTAGAGGTGAATGTGTGAATGCTACAGAGGTGAACGTGTGAATGCTAGAGGTGAACGTGTGAATGCTACAGAGGTGAACGTGTGAATGCTAGAGGTGAACGTGTGAATGCTAGAGGTGAACGTGTAAATGCTAGAGGTGAACATGTGAATGCTAGAGTTGAACGTGTGAATGCTAGAGGTGAACGTGTGAATGCTAGAGGTGAACGTGTGAATGCTACAGAGGTGAACGTGTAAATGCTAGAGGTGAACGTGTGAATGCTAGAGGTGAACGTGTGAATGCTAGAGGTGAACGTGTGAATGCTAGAGGTGAACGTGTGAATGCTAGAGTTGAACATGTGAATGCTAGAGGTGAACGTGTGAATGCTAGAGGTGAACGTGTGAATGCTAGAGGTGAACATGTGAATGCTAGAGGTGAACGTGTGAATGCTAGAGGTGAACATGTGAATGCTAGAGGTGAACGTGTGAATGCTAGAGGTGAACATGTGAATGCTAGAGGTGAACGTGTGAATGCTAGAGGTGAACGTGTGAATGCTACAGAGGTGAACGTGTGAATGCTAGAGGTGAACGTGTGAATGCTAGAGGTGAACATGTGAATGCTAGAGGTGAACGTGTGAATGCTAGAGGTGAACGTGTGAATGCTAGAGGTGAACGTGTGAATGCTACAGAGGTGAACGTGTAAATGCTAGAGGTGAACGTGTGTGCTAGAGGTGAACGTGTGAATGCTAGAGGTGAACGTGTGAATGCTAGAGGTGAACGTGTGAATGCTAGAGTTGAACATGTGAATGCTAGAGGTGAACGTGTGAATGCTAGAGGTGAACGTGTGAATGCTAGAGGTGAACATGTGAATGCTAGAGGTGAACGTGTGAATGCTAGAGGTGAACATGTGAATGCTAGAGGTGAACGTGTGAATGCTAGAGGTGAACATGTGAATGCTAGAGGTGAACGTGTGAATGCTAGAGGTGAACGTGTGAATGCTACAGAGGTGAACGTGTGAATGCTAGAGGTGAACGTGTGAATGCTAGAGGTGAACGTGTGAATGCTAGAGGTGAACGTGTGAATGCTAGAGGTGAACGTGTGAATGCTAGAGGTGAACATGTGAATGCTAGAGGTGAACGTGTGAATGCTAGAGGTGAACGTGTGAATGCTACAGAGGTGAACGTGTGAATGCTACAGGTGAACGTGTGAATGCTAGAGGTGAACGTGTGAATGCTAGAGGTGAACATGTGAATGCTAGAGGTGAACGTGTGAATGCTAGAGGTGAACGTGTGAATGCTACAGGTGAACGTGTGAATGCTAGAGGTGAACGTGTGAATGCTAGAGGTGAACATGTGAATGCTAGAGGTGAACGTGTGAATGCTAGAGGTGAACGTGTGAATGCTACAGAGGTAGCAGCAATAAATGGTAAATATGGAGTTAAAATCATCCCAAACTAGAAACATGAACCATTTAATGTGAGATCAGTTTTTAGAGCATTTCTTAAGATGATCGTTTTCAATAAATTTCTGATCACTATGAACAGATCCCTGATCCTCAGGAGTTGCGATTCTGCGTGAATCGGTTGATTCTGCATGTTTAGATCCGGCGTGTTAAAGAGAAGAGGAGCTGAAGGTGCAGGTGGAGGATGGAGTGTGGATGTGGTGTAATGGATGGAGAACTGCCCCCCCTGCTGCCCCTCCTGCCCCCGTGGTCTGTGGAGTGAGTAATAGAGGCCGAAATTTCATTTTGCAAGTGGCTGATTTAATGATCCA